CTCGGAAAAGTTCATCATCTGTCCTGCTTGCTTTGTTTAAAGACTTGAATGGCATTGGTCTTGAAATCTCATATTATAATGCATAATGCATGTTTTGGTTATTATACAATATATCCTGATAAAAAAAATCTAATGCTACTGGTCTCAACGAAATGATTAATATTATGGTATATTTATTTTAATTTATATTTTCGGAAAGATTTATAGGGAAAGATTATTGATTATCAGGTAGTTAGGCAGCCTTTTCTTTTCTGAGTTTTGACTTCTGCGGCAGCAAGTAGAGCCTTTTAAAAAAAAAAAAAAAAAAAAAAGTTATTCTACAATTTCAGTAACCTCAACAAGCTATGATTTTAACTGTTTTTCTTTGGTTTTTCTGTTTTCACTATAGGAATGCATGAACTCTTGGCTCCTCTATTGTATGTTCTTCATTTTGATGTGGAGCGGCTATCTCAAGTGCGAAAGCTATATGAAGATCACTTCACTGATAAATTTGATGGTCTATCATTTCATGAAAATGATCTTACATATAATTTTGAGTTCAAAAAATTTCCTGATTCCATGGAAGATGAAAATGGCTCAGATGGAAGTACATTGAATGTTAAGAATCTTGACGAGCTTGATCCCGAGATACAGACCATTGTAATGCTTAGTGATTCTTATGGTGCTGAAGGTGAATTGGGTATTGTCTTGTCTGAGAGATTTATGGAACACGATGCGTACTGTATGTTTGATGCTCTAATGAGTGGGGCCCATGGTTCAGTTTCTATGGCAGAATTCTTCTCTCCCTCCCCTGCTGTTGGTTCTCATACTAATTTACCTCCTGTCATTGAAGCATCTGCTGCTTTGTATCATTTGCTGTCTCTTGTTGATTCGTCTCTACACAGCCACCTTGTTGAGCTTGGTGTTGAACCCCAGTATTTTGCACTTCGCTGGCTACGGGTTTTATTTGGGCGTGAATTTTCACTTGCAAATTTATTGATAATTTGGGATGAAATATTTGCATCTGGTAATAGTAAATTAGACAAATGTTCTGAAGATGATGCAGCCAGCTTTGCCATCCTTACTTCACCTCGAGGAGCATATATGGCAGCCATGGCAGTTTCAATGTTACTTTATTTGAGATCTTCCCTTCTTGCTGCTGAGAATGCTACTGCGTGTCTTCAGAGATTGTTAAATTTTCATGAGAACATAGATTTGAAGAAACTGATACAAAAGGCAAAGTCTTTGCAGGATCTTGCTTTGAAGAACAATAGCTCACCCTCATTACTTTTATATAGTGGGCCCTATGAACATGGTAAATCAATGAATGCAAGAGGTCATAGCCTTTCAGTCGATTCTGTTTCTCCAAAAACACCACTAAATCTAGTACCTGAAAGCTACTGGGAAGAGAAGTGGAGAGTTCTGCACAGGGAAGAAGAACTAAGGCAAAATGATTTGAAGAAACAGGTTCCAAGCCATAAAAAGCGATGGACAGAAAAAGTAAAGTTGAGCCTATCTAGAACAGAGTCTGAACCATCTCCATCAAAATCTGAGAACAGCAAAAAGAACCCCAGGTTTTCTGTTAGACGAAGGTTGCTGCAAGACCTTTCTCGAGAACTCAGCTCAGAGAAGGATATTGAGACATTGTGTTCCCATGAGGACAAACTCTCTTCAGAAGTAGAGGGCAACAGAGAAACTGGGTTCGGCAAGGACCTTAATTCTGCCACCGAGAACAGATGTTTCAATGGAGATCCACCCAGCGAAGAAAATTCATCTGTTTTCTCAGATCCAACAAGTCCTCGTACTGGGGATAATGGTCATGAACTTGAATCAGAAAAAAGTAGCGTTGTATCAAATCTGTCCATTGATGAAAATGATGATAATTCACAGGATGTGTCGGAAGAGCCACCTCTTCCGGTTTCTGATCATCCCAAGGGTGTCTCTCAAACATCGGAATGCAACAATCATTCTCCCGGAAACTCAGTGCCAGGAAAGGAACGTAACCTTCTTTCTGGTAAATTCCCGAGATTTTGGAAGTTTGGACGGAATGCAGCTGGTGAAGGGACATCCGAGAAAGGATACAATGCCAGTGAGGCTATGAAATCTCCCCGTTGCGAAGGTAATCAGAATGCAACAAGCTCTTCTGTGGCTGAGGGGTCCTGCAGCTCTTTAGTTAGCCACAAAGGAGAAGCTGTTGACCAGCATGTGGTGGGTACTTTAAGGAATCTTGGGCAGTCTATGATTGAACATATTCAGGTAATGCTTCTTATAGGAACTAAAGCATTATACTATTATCTGTTCTAGTTCTAGTTAAATGGGAAATCAAATGATTGTTGAAGAGGAAGGAGGCCAATGAAAAATGGTGATACGTTTCGGTAGAGGCATTATCCATGAACTAAACAAATATCTAGTGTTTATCGTTGACAATGATAATCTTACTAGATTCGTTGCAACCATGGTATTTCTTCAAAGTTGGTTCCAAGTGCACTTCTAAGCATATCAGATTTTACGTCTGCATCATTCTGACTGTTCAAGTACCATCTATGGCAGGTTATCGAGTCTGTTTTCCAGCAGGACCGGGGTGTTCACGTTGGATCGTCGGAGAACTTATCAAAGAACACTATAGTTGGCAAAGGACAAGTTACGGCCATGGCAGCTCTAACAGAGCTTCGGAAGATCAGCAACCTTTTGTCCGAGATGTGAGGTGTGCATTATTTATAGCAACCTGTATATAGATTTTGTAATTATCTGTTCATTTAGTGCCAAAATAAATTCAGTTCGATCCATTTTTCTTCTCTTACGCCATAGGGGTTTTGGCAGTCGCTATGACAGACGTGTACATATGAGTTTCTGTAATAATCTTTTGAATCTAAACGTATTAGAATTTCAAGAGCCGTATGCATCTACATTGTGAAGTGCAATATGTGAAAGGGTCATCGAAAGCACATGTTACACTCAGCATACAAGAAACAAAAATATGTGCCAAAGCAGCAGGAGGAACATTCAGCTGCCGTTTGTGGATGCATGCCTTGAGAAAGTCATGGTACTAAGGGGTGTGAGTGAGGCAGTTTGATATCTGACACATCCAACATCATCAGATCATCAACAAAATCCAGCTTCCATCCATCAAACATCCATAAAAATTGAACTCGTTATTTGTGAAATTTAGAACTTCTTAACACTTTTCACTGTCAGCAAAGTGTATAACCCAATTGGAGCAATGGTTTCTTAATTAAAAATTCATTATTATTGGTCCCTTAACTCATTAAAACGTGCGGCTATTATCCTTTTCGTCAACTCTATTAGAAAGTCTGAAAACGAGTCATGTGTTATGCACGTGAAGTTAAATCAAGGAGCAAATATGAAAAATTGTATCAATAGTCCCTCAACTTTATTCAATTGGAGAACTAATCCCTCAACTTTAATCCAATTGGAGCAATGGTCCCTCAACTTTAACCCATTAAGAGCAATGGTCCTTCCTTGCAACATAATTCATTTTGACAAAATTTTGACGGAGTTGATGAAAATTATCATAGTTACACGTTTTGATGAGTTGAGGGACTAATGGTATTAGATTTTTAGTTGAGTGACCATTGCTTCAATTTGATTAAAGTTGAGGAACCATTGCTACAATTTACTCATAAAAAAAGGGATAACTAACGAAAAGTCCAAAAAAAACTTTCCTTTTAATGAAAAATCCTTTTTAAAGGTACAATGAATAGTATTAGGAAAAGGTATAAATGTGGTTTTTCGTTAAAAATGAACAGTACCGGGAGTGTTTTGTTAAACCTCCCAAAAAAAAAAAAAAGGTAAGGATCTTTTTAGCGATAATCAAACCTAAAACTTCCCACTTACAAGTGAAGCAGAATATCATTAGACCGTAGTATCAAGTGGTTCTGCCAAAAAATGTTATTTAAATGTAATTTTAGTATGCATTTGTTCATAACTTACCCAAACCTTAGCTCAAATGCCACGTTAAAAAAGGGTAAACTTGCCTCCTCTCCAAACAATTTTTTTTTTCTGATTGAGCTGATCTATCACAAGATATAATTATGGTTAATGTGTTGAACTGTAAATAATAGGAGTGCAACTTGGGTTGGGCCAATCTGAACCCATTTATGTTCAATCCGACTTTAAACCCAAACAAACGAGTTTTTTTTTTTAGTTATAACCCATTCGAACCCAACCCAATTTCAACCTGTTCATTGATTGGGTTGAGTTGAGTTGATCATTTGCTTGTCCATCCCTAATCCAACCTAACTCGACTAACCAAACTCAATCTAACCAGATTATAACCCATATCAATTAATGTTCATACTACACCCAAGTGTGTCAAGCCCAAAAACCAACGCCATTTCTAATATTTTTTAATAAATTACCCTTTATAATTAATTAAGCTTTTAGGGAATAAGAAGCTTTGATTAGTGAGCCCATATTCGTAGTCTCTAAATCCTAAAGCTTTATAGTAGATTGATTTATGAAATTAGAGTAAGCTAGCTCTAATGCTACTTGGCTTATTTTTTTTTTAGGAATTCTTGGAAACTAAATTGTTATAAGATTAAACTTGAAAAAATTGAGCAACCCAAACCTAACCCAAGTAAACGGTCACCCAATTAGACTCGAGCCCAAATGAACTTGAATGAAATTTAATCCGAACTCGAGCCCAAATTGTAAAAGTTGGGTTAGAATTGGGTTGACCTTTCAACCCACACAACTTGCTTGAGTTGCACCCCTAGTAAATAAGCTTAATGCAATTCAAGTTGGGTTCATTTATTTGGCTTCATGCTCCGTTCGTAAAAAAAAAAGAAATGAATTTACCCTCCTATTCACTTGGAAGTAAAAGGTCTTAAGTTCGAATCTCGTGAATGACAAATTTGATACCAAATTAGGTTTGCCCATTGTGTGGCTTAGCCGAACCACCCATCCCCTTAGTGTAAAAATATCGATGTATTTAAAAAAAACCTAGTTCAAGCTTAGTTCGTGAATGAAACGAGCTAAAATCAAACAAAATATTGGGGTCGTTAAGAAAAAGAAACTCGATCCATGGATACAGATGTCTCATAAAGAACGTGAATAACACGTATCTTTCTAGGTTATAGTTTGAGCCAACTTGGACATCTTCATCTTAAAGTACAAGAAATCAAGAACATGTAATCCAACTTTTAAGTTGGTGATCCAAATCCAAAGTTTTCACAAATGTTTATATGCTTCAACATTTAAAAGATGAATTTATACTAATGCTGCTTAAGTTGTACAAGAGAAGAAGAATCTTCTATACCCCATTCTCTCCATTTTACAACACCAATTTTACATGACCCTTCATTATCTCCTCCACCACCTTCTCCACCACCCCAACCCATACACACCATTCTGTCCCGCTCTGGCCATTCGTGTCCCAATATGGTGCTGCCGAACAACTAAAACATGGCCACTTCACTTTTGCACACTCTGAATCAGATAGGTAAAAGATAAACCCGTCTGACAGATTTCCAACCTAGCTACTGCTAAACCTAAAATTGGCCAGTGTTCAGTTGATACACGAGTGTAATCCAGTTCTAATAAAAACCTATTCATAACTGTAAAGACAACGACAAACGCATGTATGGAAATTTCATTTGACAAGTGATAAACTAATAATTTTATAGTTGATGCACATCGTCCCTGAACAAACCAGATATATGTAAACCCATCTATCAAAGAGAGAGATGAGAGAACAGATAGAAGACAGGCATATTTTGGGACGAAATTTAGTGGTTGGGGGTCAAATTTCCAGGTTGTGCCGTCCATTAAGGATACTAATTTGGGGTTAAATTTTACTGGGAAGACATTTTCGGAGGTATGACAAAAAGAAAAGGGAGAAGAAAGGCCAGATTCTGCGAACAAAATTTCATACCCACAACAGAAGTTTCAGATCAAATCCAAGTGTTTCTTCGGAGAAGAGAGGCAAGGAAGAGAGAAAGAAGAAAGCAAAGAGTGAGGAGAATGGGGGAAAGAGGAGATAACGAGAGTCATGTTAACCATCAGGATAAGGTCATGTGCTTGCCACTTGACAAATTTAATATGAAATTGGACAAAATTGACAGTATGCCTCACATTGCAAAATTTCAAGGGGGCATGGTAGAAGTTTTTCTTAGGCGGCAAAGTGACACCAGCCAAAATGTGAGGGCATAGATGTAGTTTTCCTTCAGCTTGATGGGCTCTTTAGAGCCCAAAATTTTCATTTCTCAAGCTTTTAGATACTTAACAAAGCTAAGTGAGCTTGCCCGTCTCAACCTTGAAATTTTTTAAAAGAGCTGTTCACAGACACACACACACGCACCATCATCAAAAGTCAGAACATTGTAGCAAGCATGCAGCACCAGAAATTCAAACCAAAAATAAAAGAGAGAGAAGGCACAAAATCATACACCTAAATATACAACGATACTCTGTACATAAAGATTATTTGTCTGAGGCATCAAGTTGTGATCACGTGGATGTATACAACATGCTCACCATTTAATATTTCATTCCCTTCTTTTGTTGGGTGTTATTCTTTCAAACTATACAGCAACAGAACACAAATATAATTGCCGAAGATGATAATTACAATACATCAATGCAAACAAGCGGATATACCACCAACGTCCAAAACTAACAGCCTAAACCTAAACAAAGATAAGTTGAATCCATATCCTAAGGTACAATGACAACACTATTTTGGTCATGATATGCATGCAAAGGAGCATCGGTGATTGTCAAGAGTAGGGGAACTCACCCAAGCAACCAGGCTGATAGAGAGATGAGAAATCCTTAATCATCCTCGCAGCGAGATGACTTCTGGGAATCAGTCAAAACCTTGACCTCCACCTCCACCTCTATTGGTGTTGATCCTTCTGCCTCCGTATCCACCTCCCTTGTTTCTGCAGTTCCAATGCCTACAGCCAACCAAATATTAATGACACGTCAAAATATTTATTCACTAAGAACTAAGAAATAAAACTCAAACGAGGATTTTCTTACATAATTGAAACATACATTGTTTTTAAACCAGCACAGAAGATGATAAACAAGTAAACATCACTCATCCCGCGCATTAAAAAATACTGTTTAGATGTCATTTCATGTTCTTCCCTAGGTCAATTTTGGATAACCAATTAAACATTTCATGAATTGAGCAGTATGCAACCGCTGTTCTTACACTCTTCTGCCGAATTCTGTAAATTTTACAATCGCAAACTTTCACTAGACAGATACCAAGGGCATTTCCCATTTCCATCATTAACCACATATGTTCACCAATGAAGCTAAAATTGAAGCCTTTGAAGGTATCCAAAAACAAAAGGTCCCATTAATTGCCACGAAACTAAAAATCCATAAAATAAAATAAAAAATCAACAATTCCACCAAACCAATCAAACAATAACAAACTAAAAACATTATGTACATACATAAAACTAAAAACCCACTTCAATTCCTTCTTACAAGAAGCATTTCCACCAACCACATCAAACAAAAACTAATTAGAACCAATTTTCCATTTTCCACCAAACCCATCAAATTAAACTTAATTAAAAACATTTCCTGCATACAGAAGCCCAAAGAAAAAAAGCCCATACCGCCATTGATGAAAAATTGGGAGCAAGGCCATCCTCGATCGGTAGCAACAGAGAGGATTTCTTCAAATGTGAGCTGGTTAGCCAATTTGCCAATCAAGTCGGCCACTTTCAACGGAGCGTGTCGAGGTGGGACCCAGAACGAGGAGCCGGGAACGAAGGGGAGCCAATCGGGGGTGGCCCTCTGGACGACGATAGTCTGAACGATGTCGTCCAGCTTCTTCAGCATTAATTTCTCTGAATCACTTGGCGACGACGAGGGGGAGGGCTCGACTTCGATCTCGATTAACTCGGCCTTGCCGGATCGGAAGGAGCCAGCGCGGTGGGCCTGGGTGAGATAGGGAGGGAGGAGAGGGCGGCGCAGGAGGGAGTGGCGGAGATGGAGAGCTTGAGTGAGGAGTCGAGCCATTTGGTCGGTGGACTGTGGGAACTGTGTAATTCGGGAGAGATTGATTGAGAGAGAGAGTGTGTGAAAGGAGAGGGAGTTTTGGAAGGTGGAGCGTGTAGGGAATGATGGTTGCTCGCGGGTCGGAGAGTTTCTTAAGTATCGGCATCAGTGACAATATAGATATATAAATATCTACGGACAGTGATGGGTTCGGTTTTATTTGGTTAGGTTTCGATTTTTTTCAGTTTGATTTTCTTCGGTTTGGTTTTTTTTTTTTTTTTTTTTTCCTAATTTTATAAAACTTGATTTTTTTTTTTAATATGGAATTAAAAAAATAGGCTTATATTGATGGACTAATAATAAGAAAATGGAAAAAAATGAGAAGGTAGTTATAAATATACAAAATCATATAAACCAATTATATTCTATCGATAACTTCAATTGCAAAAAAAAAATGATCAGTGTATCCATTCTAAAAACAAACAAATAGAGAAACTCTTCCAAGTTCCAGAGCCTTCCAAAAATTTTCTTTATAACCAATGGAATATCCTCCCCTAATTGAACCAAGTATGCTTCGTAAAAAAAGCCCTAGGCTTAGTTTCAAACTTGGCAATAAAGTTTCACAAAAGAAATATCATGGGCATTGTAACGACCCGTCCCCAAAAGTTACAGTCATAATAATTTTAATAAGTGAATTTACGAAAATGCCCTTCAAGGCTAAGTGTTGCCTTTTGTTGACTGCCATGTTGTGTCACGTAAGACTCGTTTTCTTGCCATATTTTTGTAGTACTCGTCGCTACGGACGCATAGGCGCAAACAAAACGCAATTTGGAGTTATAACAAATGTAGTTGAGGGTAAAATTGTAAATTTATTATTTTCTAGAATACTCGAGATTTTTGGAGTAAAATCTAGTGGAGCCACGTGTGTGGCCCAGATTTAAAGAAGAAAAGATGGGCGGTGGAGATAGGCTATAAAGGAGAGAAGGGAGGGGGATGTGAAGCCAACCGGGAGAAGAGAGAGATGGTGAGTGACCAATGGAGAAAGAAGAAAGGAGGGGAAAGGAGAAGGGTGAGAAGCACGGGGTCATGGATCCTTTATCGGTTCTCTACGACCCGACCCGCAAAAACTGTGAAGCCCGATGGGTTTCGATGGTTTTCCGACGATTTACGCCGAGTTATCACCTAGGAATTACTCACCAGCCTTCCCTCTTCGATTTTCCACACAAATTAGACAAGATTTGGTCTTGGTTTTGTGAGAATGGCACCGTGGTGTTCTTGGTGGCAATTCGCCAATTTTTGAAGCAAAGTCCTTCGATCTCTACCACCATTAGACTCTCCTTGAACCCAAAAACAAAGCCCAAACAAACTTGGAGGTGTTGGAGCTTGTTTGGAGTTGAATCAAGAACACTCATTTCAAGGGTTTCCGGCGGATCGAGGTGGATTTCAGGTGTTTTCCTGACCAAATTGGCCTTGGCCACATGTATGAAAGTTGTTTCTCTCATTGAGATCTTCATCTCTGTAAAATTTGATAATTTTTAGAAATTGTTGAATTTTTCGAGGAGTTGGGGCGGCCGACCGCCAATTGTGGCGGCGCGTGGGCCGAGATGTCCCCTGACCTTCCTAGGTTAAATTTGAATACCCTGATTCCATTGGTGAAGTCCGATTGACGAATTTCCATCATTTGAACGTAGTTCCATTAAGATCCGCCACTTGATTATTATAGCAATCGACGATCTGACCGTTGGATCGTCACCAAAATTTGATATGTTATAATACGTAATATTTGGGGATATTAGAAACTTACAGATTAAGAATCCGACGTACGGATCTTCCCGAATAGGATATGTAAGTTAAGTGTTCTATTGATAAGAATTCTAAGATATGATTTGATAATTGTTCTAGGCATCGATCGTTCGTGATGTCTTGATGTTTGTGCTAGGGAGTTGTAGTGCGGACTCCAGGTGAGTGGACTTTTGGTTTTCTATATATACGTATATATGTTTTCCATTTTTCCCAGAAATGGTTTGAAATGGAATTTCGTTTAAAATGACATGTCATGGTTGCTTTACATTTTAGCATATGCATTAGTATAGCTTTGCATAATATTGCATGATGCTGCGGAGGCCCATATAAGTTCAGGTGGGTATATATTGATGGTATGGTTGCATGGTAGTTGATTATGAGTTGATGCACGTAGAGCTCATTGTCCTGCACTCTGGTGTTAGTACTTCGCCCGTGGCCAGGGCCTAGCCTTCACGTGATTGTTCACCTCCCACACCGCTCGCTCAGCTTGGATCCAAGTCAGGTGCCAGCCTGTTGTACAGACCACATTAGGTGGTTCCGACTCTTAGGTGACCTGCGATTTGTCACACAGCCTTCCCGTGATCGTAGCACTTGAGCGTACTTATTTACACCCAGCCTGTCGTACAGACCATATTAGGTGGTCCTAACTCGTGTGCAGGTTTAGAGCCGTACAGGTCACATTAGGTGACTTCGGATGGATTAATGAGCAATAGGTTCAACCGTACAAGTCACATTATGTGACTCCGGCTGGCGTATCATTTTACATTGATTTATTTCACCTGACTTACTTATTTCATTGCTGAGATATTTGACATGGCATATACTTGGTTTTCACTACTCTCGAGTATGATTTCTATATACGTATGTATTATTATTTTCTGGAAAGTTATGCGAGTTTTATGGCGAAGGGTTATAACGTTTTCAAAAGGTTTTTATTAAAAACTTTATTTTCAGGCCCACTCACCCTTGTTTTTTAGCCTCTCCAGGTTTTAGCTGCTGAAAGTCCATATCGACGAGGATTCTTGGCAAATCTCAGTATTGGTGGCTACCTCCTAGGGTATAATCCTTACCCATATTACTATACTTTGCTTATGCTTTGACGTCGCATGTGGAAGGGGCTCATTCTTGCTCACAGCGCACTCTGGTCTTTAGGCACTTTTAGGTTTAAATTTATTCACATTTTCCACATCACCGTACTTTATGGCTTCATCACCTTCTAGGTGTTGGCCAGTACAGTTCAATTCGGATTCCTAGTGGACATTTTGGGTCAAGGTGTGTCAGGCATAAATTTATAAAGTGTAAAGAGATTCGGTTCGGTTTTTTTTTTTTTTTTTTTTTTTTTTTTTTTTTTTTTTTTTTCGATTTTTGGTTTTTCAGTTTCGGTTTGATTTTTTTCGGTTTTTTATTTTTTGAACCCACCTCTATCAACGAATATATCAAATATCAATATCGATATTGGTTGCTTTCGATGAAAATGATGAAAATTTAAAATGAAATTTAAGTATTGTCAAAGATTGGGTTAGACGAAATATAAGGGTTTCTACTATATTTAATAGATGTGTCAGAAATATCGACGATAACTGTCGATTTCAGCTTAAATAAGAGTTTCTTTGATATGAGGTGAAGTTTAGAATTCAACCCCCATTTCCATAACTCTATTATTTTTTTGATATTTGCATGTAAATATGGACCGTATTGAAGAAATTGTAAACACTAATCTTGGTACACTAACATGAACAATATAATTTATTTGAAATTTACAAAATAAAATTTTTAACAAATTGTACTACAACATTTAGTGTGACAATCCATCCTGGAATATTTGTACCGTAGGTGTGAAAAGATTAAATTGCCCTTGAATGTTAAATTGCATGTGGGGTGTTGTTTAGTTAGTTTTTTTTTTTTTTTGGTTGTTGACTCAACTAGGACCACTCACACACACCCACATACACCTAAACACTCGTGGACCCTCCTTCTCTCTCCTCCCTCTCGGATTTTTCTGCATTTCTGTACAAGTCGTACGGACATCACCCAAATCAACCATTTCAAGCACGGATCGACATCTAGAAGGTAAGATTCGAACTCCTTGCAAGTTCCTGAGTTCATTTATACCATTTGTGAGACTTGAAACCTTCGAAAACCTCGAGAACCCTAACCCCAGATTTCATGCACTGTTCATGCACACATGATCATGAAGTTTTTAGGAGTTTTAAAGATCATAGGGAGCTTTAGAACACTCTCACGAAGCTCGGAGAAGAAAGTTGAAGTGTTTTGGACGTCGGGAAGCCCAGTTTCAGTGAGTTGCAGGTTTGGCTGGAATATCGTGGGTTTTTCCGGCGAGATTCCGTTGGTTTTAGGTCCCTAAAGTGGTAAGGTTTTGTTCTACTCTTCGTAAGCTTCATTTTCATACAAAATTCATGAATTTTGGTTGAGAAACGAGTGAGATTTGACGAATGGAAGTTTTTCCCAGTTTTTCGGCGGTGCTGATGACGGTGACCAGCGAGGCTTGCCGAAGAAGGAGACGAATATTCCATTAGAGTTGACGGAATATTCTAACTGCATTAGGTAACGGCCGTTAACTTCTATTAAGGTTTTAACGGAATATTCCTAACGGCTGTTAGGGCCAGTTAGGGTTTGGCCACGCATGGTCGGAGCGTCTGGCTGTGCCTTGGCAGGGCGCATGGTGGGGTGTGGGTGGTTAGAAAATTATTTTAAAAATATGGGGATGTTCATGAGGTTGAGTAGATCACGTCGGTATATTCAAACACCCCATTTGAGCATTGTTTGAGAAGTTATTACCTAGTTTTGGTTATGTGCTTTAAATTAACGTTTATATAGTTGTTTCGCATATAGGTGTGACCTATCCTGAGGACGAGCGCAGTCACTCAAAGCTCGGGGACTACGACCCTTCCACATACCAGTGAGTGGGCTTTTGGATTTCCGTATATACCTATATACTTGAGAGTTTTCCCAGAAAATGAAAGTGAAATTGAATGTTTATATGTCTTAAAATGCCATGCAAAGTGTCTGCCTATTTATTTATGCATTAGTAGTTGCATATATGTATGTTTGGTGCTATGGATGCACAGGTAAGTTTATAGTTTATGGTTGTGAATTAGTGGTTATGTGAGATGCATTGAGAGCTCATAAACATGCACCTCGATGTTAGTGCTCCCGCCTAGAGTTAGGGCACAGTCCTTCACGTGATGTTCACCTCCCGCACCACACGCTTATCTTGGATCCAAGTTAGGTGCACAGTCTTATCGTGCAGACCACTATAGGTGGTTCCGACTTGTAGGTGACCCGCGATTATTCGCATAGTCTTC